CCGGCGGGGCCCGAATTTTTAACTTGTGTTGGGCAAGGCCGTGGCCTAGGCAACACGGAGTTTTCCTCATTGGCATCCCAACAATTACTCCATTCACACACAGAAGAAGGCAATGGCAAACTACTTCTGGATCATCTGCCAAGAACGTATATGAACAGGTCCCAGTCCGAGAAGAGAAAAGGATGGAAGGATCCTGTTCATATGGACCTGTCGTCAGACAGAACACTAAATAAATAAAATAAAATAAGAAGTTATGTGCTTTGTGTTCACAGTGCACACTGCACTTCATGCTGTCCAGCACGGTGGAGCCGTGGGAACGAGGCGACGAAGACGATGTGTGTCCTCTGAATCTCTACGGGTTACCAACAGCCGGCAACTGGCTGTGAGTTCTCATACAAAAATCTGTCGATGCTGCACTCGAAACCTTTCAATTTTACTCATGAAATGATCGATGGTGTGATTTTACGCAATTATCAGGACTGCGTCTAATGCAGAGAAGACGTTCTATCCTTTGTACCTTTTCCAGAAGTCTTTTACTCAGTGCCAGAGACGAGCAGCTCCTACGTTGCTCAGACATTAATAACACGAACCTTAATACGCCTAAATGTTTACCATAGAAATAGTATTATGATAGCAGTACAAATGAATGCAAAAATTAACTGATGAAAATAACCAATTGTACGAGGTGCGATCGGAAAGTTTCAAGACTGTGTCAATAGCGGGCGAACCGGATGTAGTACGAGCTTCTGCCGCTAGGGGGTGCGGCCTACATTCATAGTGAATCAGTGTGCCAGCCGGCATCATCGAATTAGCATTTGTTTCTTAGTTACGGGCGTTTTGGTAGTGCATTACACCGACCCTCCTGCGATTTCGGAATGGCGTGTGCATCAAATTTTGCCAAAGACTCGCCAAAACGGCTAAGGAAACCTATGAAATGCTAAAGCAAGCATTTGGGGAAATACTTCGAAATGGGTCGTGCACAAACTTTTGTGAGGCATTCCGGTGTCTATACTCATAAATTTTATTGCGTACAAACTGTTCACACTTGCTTGTAGTGAGTTACATGAAGGTGAACTTTAATGCAGTCTAATTATTCCACGTACTCAATATTAACGAGAATTACGATTATTACAATTTGTACTCTGAGGAATATTTGTTGTCCGATACGTAGCGAAATGAAATTCACCTACTATCCTCACTACACGCCTTGAAAGCGCTTCGGGGAGGAGAGATGGGATGGTTAGATGTTAGATCGCAGATGGTGCTTGACAGGCTGACAAAGAAAGATTTCCAGGGATGCTTCCAGGCTTGGCAGCGGCGCTGGGATCGTTGTGTTCACTCCCAGGGGAACTACTTCGAGGGTGATGGATGAATTTAATACCTGAGATAAGTGTACGGGTTTTTATACGCGCAGTCTTGAAACTTTCCGATCGCACCTCGTATCAGCAATGTTTCAAGTAGAGAATGCCCTCTCGAGGTTCTACGGCCCGCGGTCACCCTCCCTTCCAGTAAAATCAAATTTCTTATCCGTGATCTATGAATTTTCGGATAATAAATTTGTGGTTTGCAGTATTCGAGGTCCTGACTACCAGAAGGCGAAACTTCAGGGCGCGAAACTGAGCCGCTGTCCTGTAGAAGACGGCGTGGTCCATACCTCGAAGTGGGGCACAGTGGGTCCCGGGGCTGTGTTAGCAGGGATAGCATCTGCGCTTGAGCCCCAGCAGGTTCAAATAACTCTCCTGCTGACCGAACCAATTGAAACCAGTGACACCGACAAATTGGAGAAGTTTGATCGTTACAGGACGATGTCTTCGTCCGCTCAACTACACAACACGTGGGCCGCTACTCTGGCAGGTAAAGTAAGCACTTTTCATTCCACGTACGCGTTTCTTGTCACTCCGACCGAGCTCGCTGTCTTATTATTATTATTATTATTATTATTAAGTGTTCTGTCTTACGACAGGTCCATTGCTCTGCCCAAACAGAGCTCTCCAGTTGTCCCTATTCTCGGCTTCTCGCTTTAATTCCTGGAACGTCATCTTCTTTCCTTGTTTAAGGTCGTCGGTTAGCTGTATCAATCTTCTTCCCAGTCCTCGCTTTCCTTCAACCTGGCCTTCGGTGATATCACTCAGTAATCCATTCCTTCTCATAATATGTCCCAGCCAGTTAGCTTTCCTTCGTGTAATCTTTGCTCGTTGACTCTCCTCATTACTTCTTCGTTGGTCACTCGATCCGTCCACCTGATCTTCTCTATTCTTCTCCAACACCACATTTCGAAACTCTCCAGGTATTTCTGTTCCTTCTTCCTGAGTGTCCAAGTCTCTGCTCCATACGTCACACTTCACTAGTTAAACAATATAAAATTCCTCGTTGCTAGGCGACCTGGCAGAAGTGGCTGTGTACCAGGGACCACGACTCCAGGGCGATCTGTACATCGGGCCAGCTGGCAATTGGAACGACACGGAGATACCTCGTGTCCGGTACATGGACCAGAGGAACCAGGGTCTGTGGCAGATGACGGACGCTGAAGCCCTAGGAGACATTGATGGTACGCACTGCTGGTACATTCGAGAGCTTCGTAGCCCAGGGTTTAACATATATTTTCTTGGCGGTACGATTAGTATATTTCTGTTCTATATTCTGGGGATGCAGGATGACAGGTTTTTAACATGATTTCCCTCAGTCCCTGTAGGAAAATTCCTTAAATTAGACTACTTCATTATGTATAAATTACTTTATTGGACTGCAGGACTGATCCTGTCAGGGGCAGTGCAGAGTTGGAGAACGCAACTGAGTAGCCTGCGTCTCTCTCAATTGCTCGATATGTACTACTCTCATCGCGGGGTCAACTTCGACCCCCAGTATAGTGCCTGCGAGCGGCAGGCCAGACTGAAGGAGCTCGAAGAAACGAGCGACTTGTTGCAGACAGAGGTAAATCGAGTCACAGGACCTATCAGTGCTTACAGAGCGTCCTTACGAACGCTCAGTTGGATTTATCTAATGCCCATCATGCATGCGGGTGAGAGAGGTCACGATGCCTACCATTCTCTTTTCTCTCGCAGACGACGAACTTCGCTCGGGTGTTGTCCTACAAGTCTCCGGAAGCCGTCCAGATCTCAGACGAGAAAATCCAGGAATTCAGCCTTAAAGCCGTTCAGGCTTACAACATTCATCTATGTAAGAGGAGTTAAAACTTGCTTAAACCTTTCCATACTCAGCTTTTAATAGAAATATATTCTTGTTCAATTTTTATCAGTCTAATCACAATAAAATATTATTATTAAATATTAAAATATTATTACAATTAACATTTAAATATTTAAAATATATTAAAATGATGCTCTCTATCGAAATGTTCGATTTACATTA